ATTTGATTTGCAGATACCACTCGAGATGAGCCTTTCGGCCTGTAACCTCTTCGGTTAGCACTCACCAGAGGGAAAAGCGTGATAGCCCTGTGGTTATTCGAGTGTGCTTTCGTCAGCGGACAAACAAAATTAGGCTGCGAGAGATTATGGTACATCAGGTAACTGGATTTGAACCAGATTTTTCCTATCACAAATGACGTAGGTGCTCAAGCTGCCCAGAATGTAGTTGTGAGAAGGGTCCGGATGGTCTACCACTGCACCACTCAGCTCCATGGCGCACACTGCCGCATGTGAGTTGCCCACTTCTACATTTCAAGGTCAATCCTGACCAAGATTTCATGCGACTAGAGTATGATCCTAGTTTTCTAACCTGATAGCTCTTACGTCCACCACGGAGGCCTCAAATTTTGCGTCAAAATTGATGTGCTGGAGTTTTGTGGAAACGGGCTGGGCGCGTAATTGGTGGCAGGCCGAAGCCTTCGAACGAGTCAATGAGGTATCGCCATTGAAATGAGGGTGTTCCAGGTTATGCCCACAGACTTGAAGAGGCTTGGGTATTAATCGATCTCGCTGGAAGTGGGCTCTGGGAGAAGCCGGTAGTCTAGAATGACTGGCTGGTTCATCATCTTCCTTGGTATTGCAAAGTGTGAATGAACTTGGATCCGGGAGAATTTTCCACACCCAGGTCTGTGGTTAACACCAGCGACGGGTACACGCGGCTCGTGAGGCTGTGGCCGCTAAGCTTCCTTTTTTCAGTTTATACTTTACTCAGTTATCTATCCATACCAGTCTCTAGGCCTCGCCTGGCTAGGACTACAGATTCATTAAGGACTTTTCCCGCCTAGGTAAATTCTACTGCTACCATTCTTCTTTTCCCTGCTTGCAAGGTTCCATGGAAAAAGAGGCTGAACTCTACGGGTAGATACGGAACTAAATGACTACCGATCAGAGGTATTTATCTGTAAAAGAGAATGGGAGCATTTGACAAGGTGTGGCCTGGGTCAGAGAGGCCCAATTTGCTAGGGTGTCGTAGACTCAAGCAGCACTGAAAATACGAGACCATCTACCGATGTTCACCAAAGGTATCTGAAATAGTCAAGCCACCTGCGACTTGTGCGCGCTGTGAAGATACGGTCATCACTGACCCCAAAGGTGTCTACAATTTGTTCAAGGGCATCACTGACGTAATAGGTGCTACGTATCGCCGCAACGTCAGCCGCGTCGCTCAACGATGCCCGTGATATGCGTGGCTCTTACTCGCGTACTTTGCTTTCTATGATAGTTGTGCGGCAGCAATGAGGTTGGACGGATCTCCTGTTTTCAGGACGGAGGCATAAAGCAGATGCTGGAACCAAGGGATGAAAAAAAGCAAATACCCGCTATGAAGGGAACGAGAATTGGTGCTGAGGAATCTGCGCGTCGGCTTCCCCGCACGGTCGGACTTGACGTGAATCACCAACGGACGAAGTCTGGAACAGTTTAGGTTATTCAGGTGAGACGGGAATCGTGTAGTTGATGCCACCTACCCTGATCCAGGCCGGTCGCACTGGCTAGTCCCGAGCGCGGCCCCAAGCGCTGTCAACTTTTTGCCAATTTGGCCTCCTTTAAATAGCCTTCCCGCCCCCCGTCTACCACGCTCGCCGCCGCCGCCGCCGCGATCCCAGCCTCATCTCTACTCCCTGTCGCTTTTGGATGCGGGCCCCTGTACAGCAGCGCGCGGCCTCTAGGTCATCGTGTTTGGTGTCTCCACAATATTTTTGCGTCGCCATTCGAATGAGCCTCGGGCAAGTGAGGCACGTCGCTGCTCTATTCGCAGGCAAGGTCCCCGTCGGCCATGGTCTGAATCCTTCCCATCATTCTCTTGCACGTCATCCTCTGCCGCAATGCGTCCGTCTTGACCCATGCTGAGAGAACATTCCACCGAAACAGCAAGGCTCACGCTGTTCTCGCCAAGTTGGCGTGAAATGGCTTCGGTCCTCTTGAACATGCATACCCCCCTCGTAGCTGCAAAGAAAGCAACGTTTTCCCACTCCGCACAAACACCCCCCCTTGCCAAAAAAAGGGAATGCAGCGCTGAAGACCTACCCTCTTTGTGCTTGCTCAATCTATCCATGCGAGTCGCCCATGTCGATCAGTGATGCCGTTTAACGAATCCGACAGGCATGAGGCAGAAGATCGACGAGTTCAATCTTGACGAATAGAATATAATTTCTATCCCTACTGGGTCTATGAATATTGAGGATAATTAAAGTTATTAAAATAGCTTTAGAGTTGATAGTAAATTTGGATACCGTTGTCTTAAATATTTGGCAACAGATGACGAGGGTCATGCCCTATTTCTATCTTGACCAATTGAATTATCCAAAGAGTTGATTTCATTTGTCCCGATCAGGCTCCTTATGGGCCCGTGCAGGTATACCCAGCTATAATATGTACAAAGAAGGAATTCAATTCAGTAAAAACCCCTCAAAAACTATCTCTCTTATGGCTATTGGATTTTTGAGGCATCCCCCAGGGAAAGCGTCTACACTGTTTGTCCAGTGTGATTTTGTCCTACACTTATCCCGATGACGTCATCCTTTCATTGGCTGCTATCTCAACTTCTCTCACAAGCCGGAACTGTTCAAGCCAACTGTTACAAAGTATTCACTCTGTTATTCTCTTCATATCATCCGGGCTGTTCATCACAGCTTCTAAAGACATATTTTTTGCCAGTCGCAGCACCTCTCCTCTTCCCTTAGCCCACTGAGAACAAGCCAAGACCTTTGACGTCTTCACACGGATGTCCACACTCGTGATTTAGGTTTCCCACCCCAGGGACCTTACTTCTGCATAACTCAGGGTTGGGGCTGATATGCTCACTTCTCATCTGTATGGCAACACTGCTTTGGGTCCTGCTAAGGTTTCGGTGGATGTAATAGAGTGTGTTTCTGTGAGTGATTCTTTTTCTGCCTGTTTTCTTGTCGGTGACCATAATTGCTGCTCTCCAATGTTCTGCGTCTGCCGACGCCCGATGATCAGACACTCGCTCTCTCTTAATAATTTTCCACGCGCGACTCCACTCCTAATTATCCAAAGTTGATATTAGCTCGAGCATGTCGAGCTCTGGGAGTTGAAATATAGGTGTCACGAGATTCGCATCGGATCTTATACACTACGTGACCTTAAGTTATTTCTCTTCGGACTAAGTTTGGCGACACCTGAACAGATGAGAGGGATGCATTTACTGCCAAGCGATAGGAATTTGCGTTATATAATACGGCTTATCTTCTCAAGGTACCTGTTTATGGCAGTCAAAAAATTATTGAAATGTCGACCCGGATTTCTACGACACATCTACACTCCATTCCGAGGAAATTCGAGGCAGCATGAGAATTACAACCCCATTGGCCGTAGAGCGTCGTGTCATTAAATGCATTGCTTTCAAGCCTGGTTGATGTTCATCTTTTTGCAAACCATCTAGACCCACAGCCGAAGTGCTTTGTTTTGAGGTGCTAACATCAGAGTGAGATTCAGTCGTTTTCCAACACTTGCAACCTCAGCAGTTAGCTTAGACTGGGCAAACTCGAAATTTGTCTCGCCATATTAAGCTAGCAAAAGAGACTTAGTGGAAGGGTCAGTAGATATCTCACACCGGGCCCGTATTGTTAACGCCTCTACCATTTCTTCAGGTTAAACTCCAATCTATCATCAACTTTTGGCACTTATGGATCAAATAGTCCTCACAGGTCAGAGTCTCGTAAACGTTCAGCCGTTGTAGCCGCCGTGAAGTCGTAGTAGTGCCTACGGAGAACATCCGAGACACAAGTACTCTATCTTTAAAATTGGCTCATCTATTCTGTAACTTGCCTTTGATATTGTATTACAGCCAGTTGGCTGCATGCGCAATTAAAGTCTGATGCGAAGAATTCGGCCTTTCTTCGCCAAGCACTAGATCGTCCTTGGCGTGTACCGTACCGGGGTCTTTTTGTGAGAGAAGGGCGCCATTAACGGTCACAACAACTCGCAACCCTTGAAACAGGACGACATACAGATAAGCTGTGGAAATATGGTTCTCCCGACTCCATTGCGAAGTTCGATGCATAGGCAAGGGAATGAGTCCAAAAATGGCGCACATTTATGCGCCGTGTGCTATTTTTGATGGTTTCATTATCCTTGTCTAGATTTTCAGCAACTCTGACACGTACACATTCAAACACTTGCTACTATTGCGTGGATAATAATTTTCTTTAATCCTGTCGCACCCATCCTTATCAAGAGTTAATTCTTGTGGCTTGCCTGAGTGATATTCAGTTGTGCTGGGGATCCACTATCAAGTATAGCGCATGCGTGAAATAATCGCCAGTCCTTTGTCAGCGCCTACATGACTAGCCTTCATCTAGATTGATAGAGGCGTCTCCTCCCTAGCTGCATCAAGAACTTCATCTGTTAGGACCATGTTCCTGACATATCTGATCCGCTGTTCCTATTGGCACGACTTGTTAGATGTGCCTGGCCATGCAGGGCTACGTGGTACACGAAAACATGGGTTCAAGTTGATGAAAGCGCGATAGGTCATCGTCGCCGTGGTGCAGGTCGAATGCGGGCTCACACCGTTGGTGATGAAACCGTAGGACGAGGTATCAAGAGCTTCTCATGGCTAGCATGGAGAACTTTTCGATGGCGGGGGACAGGAGGGCTGGAAAGTTCGAATAAATATCAGTATTTTTTTCCTTGGCGTCGCTTAGCAAAAAAGTCCTCCCCTCTCGCCTTTCCCCCTCCCCCCGAAAATTCCCGAATGACCAACCGTCCGAACCTAAGCGCTCTTCTTGGATCCTTCCGCTCTGATTAATTTATCCGCCCCTCCACCCATTGCAGGTACCGGATAACCATGTTGGTCTGGACGACGACGGCATTTCATATTCTCCAGTTAGATCATCACTCATTTCAGTAGAACTTGACCAGCTGTTCGTTCGACTTGTCCTTTCCATGCGCACCCAGTAATCCAGCTCATTTCTTCAATGTCTGGCAACAGCTCCACCGCATCATTAAGCCCGGTTATACCCTCGAATATAGCAGCGGGACAGAGCCAGCAAGGAATTTCGTTGGTAACATTTGCTTCTGCCTTGACGACTTCATTGGTAGTCTTCGCAGTTCAATTAATAGCATTTCTCCTACTGCGTAATAAGCTAGCTAGGATATTGTGAGTCCCTGATAGCCGGTGCTTCGTCAAAATGAAAACTATCTAAACTTATGCATTGTAGTAAACCCAAGACTTACCTTGTTCCAGAGAAGGAACGAACAGAACCACCTCCCAGGACACCATGGGGATGGCTCTTTGCCCTCTTTAAATTCCGAGATCGGGAAATAATACGTAAATGCGGTCTCGATGCCTACTTTTTTTCTCGCTATCTACGCACACTGCTAGTCATCTTTACACCTCTAGCTCTTGTTCTCATTCCCACGTTAATACCCTTAAACTACATTGGCGGCAGAGGGTCTTCCTATCGACAAGAAATCATAAACAAGACCAATGCTACGAATGCGAACAATACTCTCGCGCTCAACGTTAAAGGTCTTGACTCTGTTGCTTGGGGAAACATAAGGCCCTCTAAAACACATCGGTACTGGGCGCACCTTATCCTTGCCATTATTGTGATCATATGGGTATGTGGTGTTTTCTTCTCCGAGCTACGCATTTACACTAGAGTACGACAAGACCATTTGACGTCGGCAGAACATCGACTTCGCGCATCTGCTACGACAGTCCTTGTCAGTGCTATTCCTAAAAAATGGCTTACTGAAGAAGCTCTGGCTGGACTGTATGATGTTTTTCCGGGTGGTATTCGCAACATATGGATCAATCGAAATTTCGACGAATTATCTACCAAGATTCACGAGAGAGACCAAGTATTCCGCTTACTTGAGAGTGCAGAGACGGAACTTATCCAATTAGCGAAAAAATCCTCGAGAAAACAGGCCCGGAAAGACGAAATATTAGCGGCTAAAAATGCCAAGTGCAAACTTCGTATGACAAAAAAAGATCGACAGCAAAAAGTTATGGACGAAAATGCCCAAGCCGACCAACTAGTTCAGAGTGGAGGACAGAGCACCGGAGACTTGCCCCAGTCTATTGGTGATACCATAGCTGAGCAAGAGAAAAAGTCTCGCCGACGTTTCGGCCATCAGTCTAAGCGATCATTGAATATTCCTAAAATTTCTGTCGTTAGCCAAGGTATTGGCAGAGGTCTCGGCTCGTTTAGCAAAGCGAGCGAAATAGTCGGGAGGAACATTGAGGCTCAACTCGAGACGTCTGATGGTTTTATGAATATTGAGGATCTTCCTCTGGGTGATGACGAATACGATCAGTTCGGACGCTTTCGTGGACAAGCTTCCTCGACCACACAAAGGGACGAGAGTATGCGAGAGGCGCAGGATGATGTTGAAGATGATGCAGGGCCTTCTCCTACAACTGGCCCTGTCGTTGGAAATTTGGAAAAAGTGTCCCAAAGACAAAAGTATAATCCTGAAAGCTCCACAGGCGACGAACCTCCACGAAATAAATGGTGGGAATTCTGGAAGCCTCCTTCTGGCGGCTTTGGTACGCCTACTCCCACTGGATATGAACCTTCAGACAGTCATACCTTGGACAAAGCAAAAAAGAATCCATCATCGGTCAAAAATGCGAGTGTATCTGAAAAGATCAACCATTTTCTTAGGAAAGTTATTCCATTTCTTGGATCAGACGAAGAGCCTAGAGAAAAATATCCGCCCGCTTTCAACTCAAACTATGTGATGGAAACTCGTGGAGCAGCATGGGAAAAATACTTAAAGGCTAAAGATCGACCTACCCATAGGCTCCATATTTTTGACTGGACACCAAGCTGGTTTCCTACCTTTCCCATCATTAATAAAAAAGTTGATACTATTTACTGGTGTCGGAAACAGCTGGCAAGATTAAACTTGGAGATTGAGATTGATCAAAAACACCCGGAAAAATTCCCTCTGATGAACTCTGCGTTTATACAGTTCAATCATCAAGTTGCGGCTCACATGGCCTGTCAATCTGTTAGCTATCACGTGCCTAAACAAATGGCCCCTCGAACAGTCGAGGTATCCCCGAAAGATGTCATATGGGACAATATGTCTATTAAATGGTGGGAAGCCTGGATGCGAACCGCAATAGTCATCGGTGTAGTTGTCGGCATGCTCATCTTGTGGGCATTCCCAGTGGCTTGGACGGCGTCTCTAGCACAATTATCGGACTTGGCCAATAAGTATCCTTTCCTGCACTGCGTAAAAGCAATACCCACCAATTATGTTCAAGCAGTTGCTGGTGTCCTTCCAGCAATTGTCCTGGGGCTTTTGTTAACACTAATACCCATTATTTTCAAATATTTGGCCTTCTTACAGGGTGCGCAGACCGGCACTGAGCAGCAATCTATCATGCAAATTTATTACTTTACGTTTCTTTTTGTGCAAGTGTTTCTGGTTGTTTCCATATCTGGAGGTACACTGGCAACAATAACTTCTGCAACCAATATAAAGACCATTCCTGACACCCTGGCAACGCAACTTCCTAAGGCAGCCAATTACTTCTTCTCTTACATGATACTTCAAGCTCTTTCAACTAGCTCTGGTGGTCTATTGCAAATTATGACTCTCCTTCAGTGGTACATATGGCCTAAATTGGTGGATAACACCGCTCGAGAGAAATGGACGCGAAATACTACCCTTCCTTCAGTCACCTGGGGCACTTTCTTTCCTGTATACACCAATTTTGCGTGCATAGCACTGGTTTATTGTATTGTCGCACCGGTAATCGTTGTATTTGCCATCATCACATTCTCTCTATTATGGGTTGCGCAACGATATAATATGCTCTACGTATCTCGATTTGAAATAGACACAGGAGGATTGCTCTATCCCCGAGCCATAAATCAAACCTTTACTGGACTATATGTCATGGAACTCTGCCTTGTAGGTCTCTTCTTCCTAGTTGCCGATGAAAATGGTAAACAGGCTTGTGTTCCTCAAGCAATTATAATGAGCGTTTTCGTCTTTCTCACCGTTATATACCAGTTCTTGTTAAACAAGTCTTTTGGTCCACTCTTACATCACTTGCCTATCACATTCGAAAATGAGGCAGTTCTTCGGGATCAAGCATTTGAGCGTGCTCAAGCCCGTCGTCTAGGGCTAGTTATGGATGAAGCTGACGATATGGGCCTGCCACAAAGTAATAGAACATCTGTAATACACGAGCACCATGAAGAAGGAGCCCCAAAGTTCAAGTCATCCAAAATTGTTCAAGAAGCTGGGTCCTGGGCCCTCAGATCTGGGAAGCATTTTACCTCTAAAGCTCTCGGACATTGTTCCGGTCACGGCGAGACGGAAGAAAATACTATTTTAAATTCTAATTGCCTGAATAATACCTCTGTCAGACCCTCGCGTAGGGTCCGACGTCATAGGGATTTAGAAGCACAAAGAAAGATCGCTGATGCTTTGTATGGCGGATACAACGACGATATTGAAGATCTAACACCCGAGGAAAGGAATGTGTTAGTAAATCATGCCTTTCAGCATTCAGCATTACGCGCAAGGAGACCCACAGTTTGGATTCCCCGAGATGATATTGGCGTAAGCGACGATGAAATCAAACGAACCAGGGAGTTTGCGGGAAATAATATTTGGATCAGTAATATTGGCGCTGCCCTGGACGGAAACTCGAGGGTAGTCTATGGAAGAAATCCACCAGACTTTTCTGAGGTGGATCTAATCGACTTGTAGCCATGGCGTTTTGGGAATTAACAGATGGGCAGAAAGAAATTTGGTGTTTATATTTTTATTTATTCTGAGATTAGCGATATAGGCGTCCGGTATCTAGAGGTTTAAAGGCCAATTTGTGGTCAAGGCATGGAATAAGGAAAGATAAAACTAGAATGTAAAGGATTCCGACAGCCAATTTTTGGATAGACGAGTATCATTAATCGGGAGAAAGCAGCTTACCATGAGGGCTTAGTGTGATAGACGGATTATCAAAGAAATTATCCACTGCACGCGATCTCATCTCCATCTCTTCCCAGCCAACTGGCAAACAGTATTGATTTGTGCAAGACTATAGGATCTCGTAGCGTCCAGTCTAAATTCGGGCCGGAGGGCTTAAGAGCCGACCGCGGGAATTTACATCCACGTGACTTGACTTTGGTCGGAAATTTCCGCGCAAGGGCAACGAGGCAGACGCTTGAATAGTTCCCCCTCTCATACCGAATGACCCGCTGTGGATCCTGAATTCCAAGTCCGAGCAAAATGCCAAGTCTCACGGCAAGCGAGCCACCGAAGTCCCGATCCTAGGCGAGCCGCCGAGTTTGGGGTTCCATCAAGAATGCACCCCTCGCATTCTTTGGTCACAATTCGGGCGGCTAAGCACCTCACTCCTCCCCTACTGTATTCTGATAGTTTAGTTGTCATGTATCATTGATCGTTACATTATTTGGAGTATGGAGGATTTCATGTATTTAAGGAGGAGTTAGAATGTTAATAGAAATACAAGTTTACACCTAGTCTCAAGCTCTACACACATATAGATTGTCGTAGTCGAAGCCACGAGACATCCGTGAATTTCACAGTCAACAGTCAACATTTTTCATTTTATTCTTACTAACGTGCACAAGAAACCTCACCGCGATGAGTGGCGCCGAAATGTGCGCCAGTATTGGCGGCAGCTGGGCCAGGAGGCTCGACAGCCTCGTGGGCGTGGTCCATGCATCGCCAGGCGCGCGAGGCGAGCCACCAACACGATCTAGACCTTGGTCTGTCGTATCGGCGTATATGATCAAATCGAATGTGTATAGATGATGTGACAGCTGTTCAGACGATGACACTGACATGCTGCATTGGTTTGACGAATATCATCAGTTCAATCTACGTCAGCTTAGAATTTATGGAAGTTGGTAGCTGGTAGCTGGTTACAGGGCCGCGTGTCACTCGCCCCAGATTATCCGAGAAATTAACTGTAATTGAGTGCTAATGTTCCCAAAAGTTGGGTAAAATAACCACTGATATGAGCAGACTATAAATAGATGGCCAGGAAACATGATTATCTGCCTCATCTTATCTAATCGTCCACTAATCATTACTCAAACTGTGATAAGTAGGCATATAACTCTGTGGTACAATACGAGATAGCCCGGGCGCTAAGATGTTGTCTCCACCATATACCCAAAGATCTGCTCTTAATAAAGCTTGGTTGCTTCTATCATCGTATGGTGCTAGTTATGCTGATGATTCCGCGAGTATTTTCAGAATTCAACAACCTTGACTTCGACTCACCTTAGCCTGTCATACAGTGTGACCGTATCAAGACTATCGTAGTACAAAGAAAACGTTGTAGCTCTGAGATATGTTCTGAGTTTCTAGACCCGGAAGTCTCTACATATGAACAGCCTTGATTGACTTTTTGTCAAAGCACAGAGCATGGTCAAAGCACTTGATAATCCCTTGACATAGAACATGTTGTGTTTCTCTTCGGCTTGGATTTCGAGGTAGCTTGGTGGACTTTCCAATTTTTCGCTGAAGAGACAGAAATTCCCTATCTTACTTGAGCCTTTACCCGTGAACGGTCAAGTAATAACTATAGATCTTTACCTGTAAGCGCAATCATAGTTCAAATGCAGACTTGCTGTATCTTGGCTACCCAAATTTTAAAGACAGTAAGCATGCGCAGTCAAGTAAGCGATACTTATAATTTCTTTTAAACAAGATAAATCTGGCTTTCGTTGCGGGTTGTGAATTAATGGCGCTGTCGACGGAATTAGGTGTTAGTTCCATACATGTAGATGTCTAGTGTGTAGTCCCTGTGAGTGCTGGAAATACTAATCGAAGTCCTTTATCCTTCCAAATTTAGGCTCAAACCCTACAATACCCTCACTATCGACTACCTTTCCTCTATCCCATTCTCGATCTTCACCCGGCATTGCCCACTTGAAATCTTCTTCTCGTTTCTCACCACCTTGGTCTAACCTCATTAATTCCTTCTCTGTAAACCCAGCGGCACGAAGCCTCTCTATCCCTTTCTCCTTAAACTTTTGTCTATCCTGTAATGCTTCTAGGGCCTGATCCCAGTCGTTTTCTTCGTCAGAATCGAGGTGAATGTCGGTTTTGGGATCGTAGACGGTTGAAAAGTGCGAGTCTATTCCTGACGCGCGCGAGATTGTTCCTCGTCCACGTGTTCGTAACTCGGGCTTCGGTGCTGGAAGTGGACCGATAATTTCCTCGAGAGGGTCTGAATCATAGCTAATGACACTGGTAGGTACAGAATTTTTTCCATGAGCCGAAAAGTTTTTTTGCTCTCCATTTGCTATACGTTGATGTCGATGATTTTTAGGCCCGATGTGTTTAGTTAAATCAATCTCTGCTGGTCGATGTGTCCTTTTTAAAGGCGATCTTTCTTGCCGTCTTGAACAACTTTCTCTTGGAGAGCATGATCGAGACCTACGTCGCTTTCTCTTATCTTCAGACTTTTTTCTCTCTTCTAACACATCCAGAATGCCCCTGAATCTTCGATCTCTAGAGACTCTTGGCTTTTCATCTTCATCTCTTAATACGGATGTTTCATTTCCAGAATTACGAGATTTTTTACTTTTTTTGAATTCTCTATATTCATTTGAAATATGGCTTTTGCTAGGCGTTTGCTGGTCTTCATGACATATTTTTTTACTTCCTACTGGTGTAACATCAATCTCGTCGTGTCTGTGTCTCTGGAAAACTCCTTCTCCACTTCCACGTAGTTCATTAGACTTATATCTACCACCAGAGAGGCCCCGGAGACGCTCGCGGGCTTCTGAAGCTTCTTTGATCAAGAGGGCCGCGTTATGGTTGTCGGTGTCTTTTATAATGTTTCGTAAGAATCGTGTATTTGGCTTTGGTTTATTAACAGGCCTAAAATTTGTTAAAAAATTATTATATCTGTAGAGCGGAAGCTTACTTGGATGAAGCAAAAGCTTTCATTCCTATCGACGAGTATCTGATTGATCTCTCTTTCGCATCCTTTGCCAAGAGGTCGGCGACATAATCATCGGTGAAAATTTCGTAATTGGACATTGTGATTGCTGTAGGGAAGGGTAGGAGAGATTCAGCTTAACAACGTAGGTGGGGAATGAGTCTCTTCCGAGTAACTTTTAAATCTAAGAGGGGCGGCAGAAATTACGTGGTTCGGATGTATTGGTCTGTTGCAGCTGCTTATGGCGAACTTATCCAACTGGAACGCACGTTGAGGCTGCCTAATCATGTTATGAGCATTAGCCATAATACATTCTTGCGTAAAAAATGGTTTGAATATCCTAGGAAGAGTAGGCCTTAAGTTTCTCTGCTTGAACACCGATATTTCAATCCGGCATTCGGAAGGGAAAATAAGCACCGTGCGCAATACCTCCTTACCAGTATGCGTAACATTGTTTACACAAGCCGGCTGCTGCGATAAAATAACTTCTTAGCAAGCTTTCATGACTGAACCATGACACTAGATTATTATAGTGATGTTTTGAGGTCTCTCCAAGATGAACAAGAGAATAATGAGCTATCTTTCATAAAACTAGGCGAGCCTGTGTCAATAACCTCCGAAACCGCCGGAGAAAGAAGATCCGATATCTCTTCGGATATCTTTAATAATTTGACCTTGGCAAGCCTTGAAGCAGATCTAGAGCACTACAAAGTAAGTATAATTTCACAAGAGGTTTCAATCCTCTTAACAACACCAGGAACTCTTTTCTAAACTTAGATTTTCCTACGTCGAGCAAGTTACAAAAGAAAAATTTATACGTGCTATTGTAGGTGATCCACCGTTAGTAGTTGAACATACAGAAAATATACAACTAGAAGAATCTGTCTCGAAGGCAAAGAGCGAATTAAATTTGAAAAAAGCCAAAGTAGCCGAATTGATTAAGGAGATAGAGAAGAAGATAAAAGAACTATGTGGAAAATATGATCAAATTCAAACACAAACCACTCATCTCCATGAACTTCCACAAAAAATTGAATCGTTACAAGCAAGAATCAATAGTCTGAGAGAATCACAGCCTATTGACTCGAACCCCTTCCTGGCCATGCCCCTTGAACAGACACTTTATCTCCTCGAAACAAAAGAAAAAGAACGAGTCGACCTAGATCGACAGTTAGAACAACTTCAGGCTGTGACGGCAAGGAAAAATAAAGAGTTAGAGAGAGTACACAATGAATTACGAACTTTAGAAGTAAAAAAACTTCACAGTATTAATGCAGCAAGCGAGGCTAGGAAGAGAAAAGAAGAGTCTACAAGTGATATAAGAGACGATCTTGAAGAAAAAGGCAGGTGGTTAAGGGCTATCGAGACTGGATTGAAAGGTATTCTCGGTATCGAGAGTTAGTTCGATGCCAATCTAGAGAAGAAAAAATATACAAATTAATGCCGTAATTCAAAGATATTATTAGAGATAACTTTAAGATTTGAAAAAGGTATCATCTTGTGCCAATGAGCCTTACTTATGTCCAGAATTCTATGCAACAAGAAATCTCAACATGTGTGGAGAAGCCCGAAAAAAAGACTGGCTATTTACGTGTAGTTTCATAAAAAACTGGATGATGGAAAATTTTCCTTTATATTACATACAGATTATCACCATGTCTAAATTTTAAAAATTCACTACTAATTTGACAGTTAGGATAAAATCTATTTATATCACAACTGATCAAACATCTAGATCGTGGGCATGACTACCGCACAAGAACAAATTAAGGTTGCCTTAAATCTAGCAAAGGATTATGTTTACTGAGTTCTGCTGTAAGATTTTCTTGGCTTTCGAAAGCTCAATAAAGACCAATGCTTACACTTCAGTGACGTAATACCACTTGAAACGCTCACTCCTTGATTACCCTCCAGGAATCTATGAAAGATCCGAGGCATTCACGAAAATAGGGTGCAACTTGAGGCAAACCTCCTGAAAAACTTATCATCCTGACTAGTTGTAAGCTTTCATCGAAGTATTTTGTACTGTTCATTTACGTGAAAGGCAAATATCGTCCATTGCAGTCCTACTGGAGCTTAGAAACGAGTGGGCCCGGGCCGGATCAGGTTAACAACCATGAAATACAGATAAACCTTTCCCATCTAAATGACCAGACCACCTCAACTATGTGTTGAAGCTTACCAAGCCTAACCGTCCCGAGAACCCCCTTTTGGCGCTCCGAAGCGCAAATTCCTCCTCAGGCTCGGCCACCACGCACCCGAGACCTTAACATTATCATTGACTCCGAGATATAAACGCCGACCAAGATTTCATCGTTGCTCTAGCCTTGCACCTTCATATCTTGCCGTTGGGTTGTTGTTGTCGTCGAGGATTTGTGTCATCCCCTCGATGTATCTTCCCTTTTCTTCCTCCTTTGCACACGTCCCGTTCCCATCACGACTTTCCTCATTAGGGCGTGTGTAGTTGGGTCACGTGACGAGTATAAATATGGGTCGCAGACATAGGATCGACTGAGAAATGCTTCGTCGCAAATATAAAAGGAGTTTGAGAGATATCAGATATTTGAATACGACACCCATACAGACCAAGGCCCATTCGTGAATCGTATTTTGGTGGTGATGAGTTTTTGTTCGACTTTGTTCCGGCTGTGAAATCTCTGCCGACTGATATTTGGACCAAAATATCGAGTGCAACTCCTTCAAGTCGAAAATTCATCCCACCCATTTTCGTGACTGAATTTCGGCTCTGGGGAATATTTCACCTCCTGGCTCGTAGAGGATACCACTGACAGGTGTTCAGCCTTCGTCCTCCGTAATTTAATCTGTCAAGGCAACTTTCTGATTTTTGGTATTTTTTTGGAGAAACTAACCCAAGGTATGTCGCAGTTTCTCCTTTCTTTTTTTTAAAAAAAAGTCATTTAGGGTGTATTCAGCTATAGAGCTATGACACATGACCGGTGCCATATATACATGTGGGATAACTCTATTGACGTTAGACACACTCATGCTCTAGATTTCATTTGCAAATACCACTATGAGGTATGTTCGCTTACACAAACAGTCGACCCTCCTCCGTTAGTACCCACCAAAGGAACTTTTCAAAACCTTTGGTTATCCAAGCATGCCTTCGTCATCCATGTATACCAGCGCCGCGATAAAAGTGGTTCTGTTTTGCTGGATTTGAACCAGCGATCTACTGTCTCAAGTGGGATATGTGTCTAAGCTATGCAGACTCTACTTGGTAGACCGGCCAAGACGATGTACCACCGCACCATCCAACTATGGCAGTTTTTATAGTGTCGCCTGCACTCTCGCAGCCGAAGACTTGGCACGCAAAAAGCTCAATTTGTAAAAACTCTTTTCCAAAACTCAAAATTCCACGCCCGTCGAGACTGTATCCATCCTCTGCATCATCTTATCGACTTGTCCTGATCCCTCTCACATCCATCCCCAGGAAATGTCTTTCAGATTTGTGCGCCACGCTTTGTTTCCTCCGTCGGGTATAAATAGTGGCGTAGGCGTGTATCTGGCGACCAGCTAAGGATAGAGAAGGTCGACAAGAGATGTGGTCATTGGAATGAGGATGTACTAGGTCGTACTTGTATGCTTGATGAGGCTTAGATAGGATTCGATCTTTTTTGGAATGAAAATTTGATGTGGTGGAGTTATTTGAATCATTGCCTCGTGGGCCAACTTGTTCGATATCGCGAAATTTGACTGAACTTGGCTCTGAGAGAATATTTCACTCCCAGGTTCGTAGAGGACACCGTGTACAGGTGTTCAGTCTTGTCCTCCGTGACCCGGCCTCAAACGTCAGACCCAAAAGGGGATCAGCACACCTCGTAGCAGCATTTTCTGTGAGATGATCGACAAGGCAATCTTGACGGGACTGCGCGCTGCCCACCCAGTAATGAGAACGACACCGAATCTAGTTCTCCACCGAGAAGGAGGTATCCCAACAGGGAAGATCATTCAGGAAGGGAACCAACTACGGATTTTGGCTCGGCACCACTCACTAGACAACCGTCATCCGCTCCGGACTCGCGCCGCCGTGTGTCCAAAAGATGGAACACGGAAGTACAAGAAGTGTTCTCGGGCACCCAAGAATCCAGAGATACACACGTCACAAGTACAGCGAGCTTACTGAGAACTCCCGGATGTGGAAGACGCCGAGCCTTTGCCGCCACCGTGTTATCTCACTAGTTTCGACGCAAGGGCAGAGGAGGACAAGGTAACCCGGCTCTTGCACAGTGGGTAAGCATCAGATATTTGTGTCTACCCGGATGAATCATCGGAGGAGCATAGTCGCTCAGCATGGGGATTCGTCTTGAAGAGATGTGGTATCAAGCATGGTGGTGAAGTGCTTGATGCGGAAATTTTAGGGGCGAGAAAGGCCCTGGAAGCTGCGCTGGGGCTTTTTGAGAGGGAGAACGGGGAAAGGGACGGTAGGCAGCGGATCAACGTGTTGACGGACAGTCAGTCTACAGTAAAGGCACTGTCGACGGGAACTTCGACAACAATCCTCGACGACGCAAGCCACGCGAGCAGACACTTTCCCGGCGGCTACTCCGTGAACCGATCTCAGCCCGTACGTGCCATGGAAACTTCGCGGCATGTCATCGCGGCTTCAACAACTTCGCCGCTTCAATGGAGTGTGCGTGTGGAGAGGAAACATCACCTCTCCATTTCATTCACTGTCTACTGCACGCACGCCAGACGCGTCGACTACGAGGGACAATGTCACATCACGACTTTGTCCACAAGCTTCTCGGGCCCAAGTGCCTCGAGAACTTTACAAATTTTGCACAGGAAACCGGCTGCTTCGGGGGCCAACCTACGGATCCATCTCCTGCTCTCAGCGGAGACAGTGGTAACTAGTCATAGCACAATGCATGGCAGGCAGGAAAACGAGACGAGAAGTGTCGTTTTTCTAACCACAAACTGGATTACTGGGCTCGGAACTTTAGTTATAGGAGTTTACGGCAGTTTCTATTTTTCTTTCTTTTAACTAGCTACTGGTTGTGTAGTGGTTCACGCGGTGAAACCGAGGTGGGCATGCGGAAAGCATGATCTCGGCCGTGTACACCGGTCTTTGACTCCTAGGAGATATAGAGCATAGCTTAGGACCCTTAAATAATTAAATTCAATCACAGAATTTCACTTGCACCCGAATTCTGACGTGAATATTGTTACATAATCATTACAACTTGCTAGAGATTCTTAACATTCTATAATCTATATTTAAGGGAAGTTAGCCTGATCTAGCCCGACTCTAACCGTGCTTAGGTTCCCTTATGAGAGCGGAGGGTGTCAATATCTTGAGCACTTTAATATACAAATGTAGCCGGCAAAACCGAATTCTTCACCTTCTAGTGGCACCGGTGTAATCGCCCAGTATGCTCTGCATATCTGGGATAGCCAAGAAGAATCGCATCCGAATCGAAGTTGAAAGCAACCTCAAGCATATCTCCATTTGACAACTTCTCGACAATGCCTCTCTTACTTTACTCATCTGGGCCCTCAATCTCTCTCTAACCACAAATCATCGCGCCTCGACGAACAATAAAGAGGTTGCTCCAATTGCATACCGGTGCTTGCCCCATTAATTTCCAGCCATCTCTCACTATATATTTACGATGCTTTTTATACCCGCAAGGAGGAAATCAAGTCGAAAAATACAAAGCCTGGGTCTTGGCTTGTGGGGGACTGTTACTCTAATGGGGTAATACATCTTGAGAAAGGACACGCGGCTGAGATGCGGAGTGAGAGGGGAAAGGGGTCTCTAAAGACCATGCTGGGACTGATATTTTCGAGGAGTTTTCAACTTTAGATTTTGTATGGGCACCTAGACTAAGATTTCGACTAATTAGCCAGGAGGGCTTCTTTTGTCAATGAGCCAACGGCACTTCCCAGCGCCCTAGACGGCTCAAAAGAAGTTAGGCTAAGCTACTATACAGCAATCACGCTCTGTTAAGAGTTTTCAGATATTTCAACACGACCTTCGGGAAGGAGTCGGAAGGATGCTAGAAAGGCAGAGTGTGAATTCTTCGAGGTACCCACAAGTCTGCAGCGCCCAGCCGGCCAGCCTCTTCGAACGCTTCACAAGGGGTACTAGATCTTCGGATTTATTCCTAATGTCGGTATTAGAAGAGCCTCGCACCCAGTGGTTTTTGCAGTATTTCCCAGCTTCCATACACCCGCAAACGGCCATCGTTTCGTTGACTGGAGAGGGGAGATAATGAAGGGCAAAGGGCTCCTATAAGTGTATGATCGAATGAGGACTTGTGAGGGGCGGTACTATTTGAGGGGAGCTGTATGGGAGGCATAGGAGGGGATAAACTACTGGTATAGGTATCCTTGGCCTGTAGGCAGAGAGGACCTGCATGTCCTACATAGTCATAGACTCAGACAGGACAATAAAATGAAAAAATAATAACCCACAAAATACCTTCTTCCACAGGGCGAATCTAGTGGGCTTGTTGAGCTTCATCTTTGAGCTGCGTCTGCTCGACCTATTTTCCGAAGGCAAGGGCGCCTTGGGCGTACCGTCCATCCGATGCCAGGGTTTGAGGGTCGAGGTCCAACGCAAAGACGGGCACCGTTTCTTCATAAACTGCAGTAGAAGAAGTGGTCTGGGGTGTTTCCTCGCCACGGGAGCAAGTCGTTATCTGTATCACTTTTCTTTGTGTTACATTCGGATATGGCGAGCACGTGATTCACAAAGTTGGTGAGTCATGTGTAAAACAAGAACTAACAGCTCCAAGGAAGATTAATCCGTCGAGGTAGCTATCTAATTTTTGGTATTTTAGTGGAAATCCTAAGCCAAGATATATCGCGCTTTCAACCATTTGCATCGTTGCAAGTCTGATCTGAGTTGAATGAAGATCAGGCCCATAATTTTTATAGGCTCTTAATATACATAGATGTACATATTCCTCACATACTTAATTCCTGCATCTTTATCTCACCTAATCTTGAGAGGGGTTCTAACACAGATAAGATCGAAATAGTTTGGCATATAAAACAACAAGTCAACCTCGTTTCCCTGGCTTCGAGTCAGTCATACAAAACGTGATTGGACCCGTAGATTTAATAACTTACTGCAAACCCAGGTATGATAGGCTTGAACTTAAAGCGGTAGGTGAAAGATTTGGAATACATAGGGGTGGGAACACCAATTGTCCACAGGGACTTCGTGACGTCAATAGGTTCTATGAGATCTCGACGTGTTCGTGAGTCCAGAACTCTCATATGTATCCCATACATTTGCACATCCATATGCACATTAGCTTCTATGTTTACCCACTCATTTCTGGATAGCAGTTAGTGATGTATCAACAGATAATTATCATCTCAGGTCTCACAAAACGGGTACGAGAGGGGTGATATTGATATTATCGACATTAAGGAAGGTCATCCGTTTTGTTGTAGGGCAAGTGACCAATTTGTTGTTGCCAAACCATGGGAAATCATTCACTTTAACACCTTCATCGTCAATGGTTGACTGCTCTGTAGTTTTCAAATAGTGAGCAGTTGCTAAAGTGCTGAGGGCAAATGTAGCGAGATAAATGGAGAGCTTCATGGTTCTCGTTTGATGGGTTGGATGGTTTGTTTCATACTTCCGGAGAAAGTGTGCTCTTACTTATAGAGGCTCGTATTTTCTTATTTCATAGACTCAACGACATTCAGTGGGGGACTATTCTCAACACCTGTCAGTGGTGTCCCCTACGAACCTCCAGCTCTCACTGTAGAGTCTGCAGAGCCGAGATTGAGTAACAAAGTCCTAACTTCCACGAGGATTCCCAATCGCTTTCGCGATCTGTATCGTCTTCATCTCTCATCTCATCCCTCTATCACCACTATCATGAATCTAACCACGATCAGATCAGATGTCAGGGTTGAAGCCCTTCTCATCACTAACCCTTGGCCATGGAGGAAATGCCATCCGATGAGTTTCCGGAGCGCACCTAGCAGCCGATACGGAGATGGCGGATTGGATCAAGTCGACCTCGACTGTTACAAAGAAGGGAGATATAGATGAATATGCGCACCTCATGTGGTCCCGGTGTCTAGGCCTCGCCTGGCTGGGGCTGCAGGTTTTTTGAGACTTTTTCCCGCGCACGCAGTTTCCATTGCTACCATTTTTATTTTTTTTGGGTAGAAGGTTCCGTGGAAAAGGTGGCTGAATTCCACGGGTAAATACTGAGCTGAATGGCTATTCATCAAGGGGAATATATCAATGATCTTTCAAGTAACAAAAGAGGATAGGAGCACTGTACAAGGTGTGGCCTGGGTCAGAGAGGAGCCCAATGTGCTAGATAGTCATAGACTCAAGTAGTACAATAAAACACACACACACACAAACGACATTCAGTTACACGTCCTTCGAAAACGGGCGAACCAGATCTGCTAATTAATGGTTGTTGATGGTTCCTCGTCACGATTCAACCATTTCTCATCACATCCGTTTAGAGGCTGAACATTGTAGATCCGACATTCAGCTATAAGCTGTATGAGACATTCTGACCGAGGGGACGAAAACTCTATACAGTCAGACCCCTGTTAAGACGATCCTCTTTAAGACTATATTTTTTACAGAATAGACTTCGTTCCCCTACATTTACCGATTACACGATTATCGTTCTTCAACCTCAGAACATCTTCTTAACCAGGGTTTTTTTGCTAGATTGGTTCTATAAACTCCGCCAAAAAATGGAATTTCTGTGGAGCAACGATATTCTCTATCTGACGATATTTTTCACGGCCCCGATTACATCGTCTTAACAGGGGTTTGACTGTATCTATCAGCAGTATATCCTGCCGACCGCTTGCGTTGCTTTTTGTAACGGAATTTGCTTGCGAATGCAACCAGCTTCCTATGACACAATGGCAGTGGAAAAGTGACCAAAAGGTGACCAAACGTAAAATAGAACTTATGTCAAAGACTTCCCCTGCTCAAAAAAGCAGTCAACAAACTATTTGATCACCACTGCACAAATTATAGGAGACCACGAGAACTTGCATTTGCTGATAACCAACCAAAGATATTACCAATAAATTTAAGAACTTCAAGAGGAAGCAAAGCCCTACTAAATTTTATGAAAATTTAAAAATGTATATGAAGATATAAGGGAGATATGTCAGGCTCATAAGTAATGGGACTTGGGGAGCAACAGGAGTGTTAGTGTCTAAAAAATTGGAGATTTTTTGTGAATACATTTTTATTTGTCTCTATATCAGGTTCCTATTTGCAACTATTTTTGTTCTTGCTCTATTTTAAGATAAGCTCTCATAGCTCAATATATTTGTATGTATGGATTTCGTGTCATGGAAAAGCCCTACACCCAAGAGGCATGATACGGGTGTGTGACCCTGAAGACTCATTGCTACTTATCTCTCCAGCTTTCTAGGCCGAGTGATTACATCAAAAGAAGAAATAAAGAAAATTGCGCAGACAAAAGATGCCCTGCGCCTTGTCCGCTCTCATATTAAACTGCTAAAGATATTTCCGTCCCTCGGGAAGATATAGCCCTCTCAATGTGAAAATTGCCCTACGTAGCATCTCGTTACGGTTATGTACTTAAAGGATTCCTCCCATCCGTTTTCTGCCAACATCACCCGACTTCTTGGTGGTGGTTCATGCCTGGATATTCTCCATTGTCCCAGAGCCGTTCGGCACTCTGCATAGTGCCAAGCACGTCGTTCCCCTCCACAGGTGCATCTGCAGTCTACATTTTCCTGCCCAAGTCTCTCATAGTAGCCCTTGAAATCTCCGTATCCTGTCCTCGCTGCTATCAAATGATGGTACGGCCATCTCGGCAATCCAAGCTCGGGTGGTCGTTTTCGCCCCCATTAGGAGGTCTAATTCTTCGTACCATCTTGGTCTATTTTGAAGCCAACAGGATTCCACAGCTTTCTCGACCTGCTCTCGGACGCGACGGTTCAGCGCTGCAAAGGTGTATCTCTACTCACCCTCTAAGTCTAAGAGGTCTCTCAGGCCTGCCTTGGCCAGTTTGTCCGCCTGCTCGCTCCCTGTCGAACCATTTGAGCTGGTTCGGAAGCTTTAATGATTGAGACCAGAGGTATCTGGAAGAACAGCTCGCACAGGAGCTTTCATTTGAAGTAAGATAATATCTAGAAATAGTTTTCTTACATCACAAGACATAATCCAAACATATTGTAGCCATGATATAATCCTTAACCGACTCAACACCAGTCCACCACGTCTCTAACACGGACGCCAAGCATTTTCTAGCTGAAAATTACGCAAAATGCCAAGGTTTTCCTGAGGCATTCACGAATTGTGTGAGGTACCAGCTTGGCACATTATTCTGACAATAATGTTACGATCATATTAGAAGAATGGAATTTACATGAATCACGAAACATTAATTCAGGAATACGAACTCCACCGGGCTCTGTATAAGGTGTATCCCCAAGCAGATTTTGCGGGGCCGCATGAAGATCCGTCCGAATAAGCACAGACTGTCTCTGCTGTCAGACTACTGTGTCTCCAGGTCACGGGACATGGCGTTGAGAAGATTAGTGGGAACTTATTATGTAATCATGCTCTGTTCAGTTCTTTTTGTTTTTTACATCAGATTTCAATTGCGTATGTAGCTATTTAGCTATGACACAATATCAAAGAAAAGCACAGAATAGATAATTCAACGTAAAGGAAAAGCACTCATAACTCAGATTTTATTTGCAAGTACCACTGCGAAGTTATGGTGGCTTTTTCTTCACCCCAAGTCAACCCTCATCCGTAAATACCCACCCAGGGGAACGTCTCAAAAACCCTGAGTTATCCAGACATGCCTCCATCATCTTTCAACTCTTCTCCGCGCGAAATATGGTCTTAGGTGTCTCCTTCCCAAGTGATGTAGGTGCCCAGGCTACTCAAACTATACCAGGCAATACCAACAGGAGGCGGACCATAACACCTTCCATCGTTGGCTTGTTTTATATTGTCAGCTGTACTCTTACAATTGAACTATTGGCACCCTCAATACTCTTAATTTGTAAAACTCCTGGCCAAAATTCCGAGTCTTACATTCGTCGAGATTGTACCCTTACTCTGCATCATCTTGTAAAGTTGTCCTAATCCCTCTCATGTCCATCCCTAAGATCCCACACCCAGATTCGTGCCCCTCGCTCTGCTTCCTCCGTCGGGTCTAAATATCGGCGTGGGCGTGTATCTGGCGACCAGCTAAGGACAGAGAAGGTCGACAAGAGATGTGGTCATTGGAATGAGGATGTACTAGGTCGTACTTGTAGACTTGATGAGGCTTAGGTAAGAATCGATTTCGTTGGGAGTGAAAGATTGACGTGGTGGAGTAATTTGAATCATTGCCTCGAGGGCCAACTTGTTCGGTATTGCGAAATTTGACTGAACTTGGCTCTGGGAGAATATTTCACTCCCAGGTTCGAAGAGGACACGGCGTATAGATGTTCAGTCTTTGTCCTCCGTGATTAGTTTCACGGGGCTGCGTAGTCGTAAACCTTTGCGATTCGGATTTTCGTCAAAAAACTTGTCAACACAATTCCTTCCAGCCGCTATCCTGAAGTAAACTCTCGATCCAGGTGGAATGTTTAACTTGCATCTACGCAAAGGACAACAATGATAGGTGTTCAGCCTCTGCCCTCTGCTAAAAATGTTGATGTGCAAGTCACCGAAATTCGAATCTATAATTAACTGTTATCCGGAGACTAGATAAGCCCCGCAAATCTGATAGACGCTAAGCCTCGGCCACTTGCAGAGCAAATATCTGCTACTTCTCTGTTGACAAGCCGCCACCCTGATTTAATCGTGCAGCAATGGCTCCTGCTACCAAGGTTCCCCCTCCGCTTCAGGCATATCTAGCCATGCCTCCGGAATCATCTCTCCTCCTGATGACCTCGGTCCTCGGCGCCACCTCGAACTGGCTTGTGTTACGCTTCTTACATCAAGTACTAATGCAAGAGTATGCTGCAACCGAATCTACACCAGCGATTCTTTTCGTTAGTTTCCTAAGAGACGCAAATTTCTGGATGAGTGGCGCAAAGCGGATAGTGAGTATTCCTATTTCTGCTTGTATATTTCATGGTAAGAGCATGGGAGATGGGCGCTTACACTCTTACCCAACAACTTGAGTGTCTTGACGAGCAATGTCACCTCGACTGATAGCCGTGACCCCATAGGGACTTGATCTAGCTAAGCTAGAAGAGGAAAAAAGATTCAACTATGTTGATGGCTTAGGGAGTCTGTTTTTGGCGGGAAATAGCCATTCCTCTAAGGTCTCAACCTTGCGCAACCCCGACCTTCATCGCATCACCGAAGATTTACGGACGACTATTCAAATGATGAAAGGAAACAGGAAGTTAATACTGGTAATAGACGGCTTAGATTTCCTTCTTGCGGCAGGAGTTGAAATTACATCTGCAGCTCTGGGTGATATGATAATGGGCTTAAGAGAGGTCCACTTTCAACCATTCTCTTTCTGTTGGTGAGGCCCTGACGTGATTGCAGGAAGTACACGCTACGGCTTTAACTCTCTCGGCGGATTTACCACTGGTGGCCCGCTGTCAAAGTCCATTGGAATGTGAGCACGCTGCATTTCTTGTGAGTATCGCCCACCAAGCAGACATACTGATGAATCTACGAATGCTGGATAGCGGCACGGCAAAGGATGTGAGTGGGGTCATAAGAATAACAATTGGAGACACCAAGGAGGAAAATAAAACTCAAGATCTTGAAGATTCTGAGTACTTATACTTCGTAGGGGGGGATAACAGTGTTCAAGTATTCGAAAGAGGACAATCTTCATGACTTTGGCCTACTTTTAATTAGATCTATATAATTTGATATACAGAGACATAGGCTTGATATTCTGCGCTGCAGGAGCGTAGCCTTCCGCAAATGATAATTGGGCTTTAGAGTGTCTAAATTCCACTATATAGGGACTCTTGAAACATTACGGATTCGAGCGTGGTAATGAAGTTCACTTGCATGATGAAGTCCCTTGAATTGAGGATTTGTTAAAAGTCAAAAGTTTTTTTTTTGCCATCCTCAAAAAATTGTTTATGCAGATATCTTGTTGGGTCCTCTTGCGTCCTTTGGTTCACCAGTCTGGAACCCATTCTTAAACTTGCGAGCGACACACTTAAGGTATCGCATACGTCCAGTGCCAGTAGTCTTCCTCCGTTTGGCCTTCTCGCCCCAGTTGTCTGTGAAAATTAGCCAACCGACCCCATTGGCTTGAAGACTATTTTCTTGTGGATTTCTGGTCAAAAGGATACCTACATTTACGTATCTTTGCTGATGGGTATCCACAAGAAGAGCAGGTATGCTTTTGGATATGAAGGGACCGTCGTCCTAGTACAATAGTATTAGATCTAGAGAATTCAACAATCTTTGGTCCTGATTGACTAACCACAACGTCTGCACAAGGTGTGTGTCTTGTTGTGGCGCTTTCCGAAGCTGGAGGTTCCCTTCGCTGTATTTCGGTTAGTGCGGTATCGCGCAATAATTGAAGGAGAACGTGCTCATTTTCGATTAGGAACTGTAGTAATGTGGTCAGCTTCGCGTTTGAAATTGTTGTGGGTGTAAAAGCAATAGCTTCACTCGCCTCGATACCGTCAATGTCGAATTTGTTGTTGTTAATCGGTCATACGGAATCGTGGTTGTGGGATTTGTGATTATCCTCTGTTGAAACGCTAAGAATAAGCGATCACGTGACATTGGAAGCTTCCATAAATCCTAAAGTGAGCCTGACACCGAAGAGCCGTGTTCAGACAACCGTTCGGAACTTTCAATTGACGCGAGTTGGCTCTTGCAGGTGGCTCAAATTTCACTTGGAGAATTCGCTGGATAATATTTATGGCATTCAAGCAAATTCGCTCCAACAATTGGGTCATGCATCCACGGCAAAGCACCAATTACCTCGCTCGCCACAGCCTGGGTAGACGTTACCATTTCCATCCCAGTGGTCGATGAATACGCGGTATGCCTCAGGACACTCTTAACTATGGAAAATGGGACAATCTCACGACGGTTTTAATTTAGAGGCAATGCACTCGACAAAGACTCATCTTTGAAACTATCATCTTCGCCAAGAATTTCTATTGCATATTGGGAAGTTTTTCTCAGCTCAACAATATTTTAAAAAAATTCTAGAAATTTGGCAGTTGGTTTGATGAGCTTCGTGCTGTTATGGGACCAAATGCCATACTAGATTAGCCTTAAGTATCGTAGTTTTTCTCATATCTGAACTTGATACCATCATCTCGATTTGGCTCCCTCTAGGCCCATGCAGGTATCTACAAGTTATCAAATCTACTTAGAAGCTGACCTTATTGTGGCGAAAACCCCCTCGGATTTTTCTGTCTGATATCTCATGTTTTCACTTTTGTACTTCAGTAAGCGGAGTCACACCACAGTGCCATCCACGTAAGTCAACTACATCCCCTTTATCGACAGCAGGAATTGCTTATCATATTCCTCTGCATCAGCAAAATTTCGACCGCCCTTGTCATATAAAATTGCTCTGTACAGCCATGTTTTAGAATTCAGTGTCTAGTTACTTTTTATTTGTTTGCTTAAATGCTAGGCAAACGAGACCCATCGCACTTCTACTGGAGCTTAAACACGAGTGGAGTCTGGCCGGATCAGGTTAACTGCCGTGAATGTACAAATATGTGCTACGGTTTTTTCCCGATGTTAATTGGCAGGGCTAACTTACGGGTCCAACCAAAGCAGTATTTTGACTGCAGCTAGTGGGGATACACGCAGGTCTCGTATGGAAAGATAGCCAAGTGCGGTGAGTGCGTTGGTGCTCAACAAACTCGGGACTGCCCGAGGAAAAGTGTTTCTAGCGCAAACTGCGGTAGGGAACATCGTCCATGGCAAAAAGCAGCGTGTCGAACCTAATAGGTCTACAAGGGAGTGCTGAGAAAGCTCGGATAAAGCTTCTATCGAGAACGGCGGATATTTGGAGTGAAAGCCCCACAATTGCGCCATAGCGAAAAGTCGGAACGATTGATGATCAGTAATTCACTTTGATCACCACCAAGAAGACTGAAGGATTCAAAAGAGGACCAGCATGACCACGCAAGGTAGTCAAAGCCCCAACGGCACTTATCATCCCCGCTACAGTCGCACCATCACCGGTGTCAAGGGATGAAGTGAATTCAGGGATCGTTTAGTCACGTGCTGCCACGCGTCTGATGCGCGATTCACGATGTATATGTATTTATAAGATTCGTGTTTATCACGAAAGGTGTCATCATCTTGATCCCTTTCTGACTTGTTACTGTGGGCCTAACAAGTCAATCACTCATTTAGTTTTTTACCTCATTGTGCGAGAGTGACTGGCTTCGGCCGGCCATGGACGAAGTATGGGCTCACTCTATTTTCTTCTAAGCACCTCCCCAGGAGCTAAGCGTTTCGCCGCCATATTGGAGAAGGTTAGGCTCCTATCAGAAATCTGCCCACTCCGTAACATTTGAGCTATTCTTGTGAGGTACCCGCTGCGTAGCGCTCGCAGTTGCTAAATGTATTTTCATGGCCTCTGCCACTGCACATCACGTCTTGTATTATTTAGTAGTCATCATGTCCCCTCAGGGATGGGGCTTCAGTTGTAACTAGTGCCCCGTAGACATAAAAATAAATAAATATTTATAAGAGAAAGAAGGTATCTTATGGTGAACTAATGTTGGATGGAAGGACTCACGATCTCTTCTTTTGCAGCATTATCTTAGTTCGTTGTACAGCCTACGAGCGTGAGCTCAAACTACTTGTAATCATATGTATAGTTGCTGTTAAAGGGAAATTTGCTTTATTAAAATTGGAAAGCAGAGTGGCGGACAGCTGGTTTGGTTTGTTCATTGACGTGTTAGGTAAGGTGAATACCGTTGCACTCCTACTGGAGCTTAAGCACGGGTGGGGCCGGTCTGGATCAGGTTAACTACCATCAAGTACATCTACCTCGTCCAACCTCAGACTTCACCCATGTGTTGAATCATGTCAAGGCCGACCGTCCAGAGAACACCCTTTTGGCACGCCGAAGCGCAAATTCCTCCTCAGCCTCGGCCACCACGCGCCCGAGCCATTGACACCTTCGCGATCTGTAACTTTTCCCTTCCATTCAGCCCCAGCTTTGGCTCTCCTCATCTCATTTAGGGGTCGTTTTCTTCACTGGAGGCCTCATCCAATCGACCACCAAAGCCTCCCCAGTTTGTATTCCCGTTTGTTCCTTCATGTAGCATCCCTCTATCCTTCAGACGATCTCGTCATCCCAGAAACTTTGTTGAATGTCCACCTCTCCGGCCTTGCCCCGTCGCTGCCGTACCCCTAACCGTGGAGGTCGAAAATGTGACTGAGAGCTCAAGACCGAGGCACCGGTGCCCCAGCCTTTATCGAACGATGTAGTTGGTGTGCCGGCGAAATGTCGTACGTGTTTCGTCGGTGGCGATTCGTTGCAGGTCGGGTTCCTGGCATCCTTGGTCGAGGTGAGGACGCATCTAAGGCTGTATTTCGACCGTACCTTCACAGCGACTGGCAGTTGCGAAGGGTTGGATATCCTCTCGCTTCTTTGTCGGCGATTTGACTTTTGGAGATTTGGGATTACTTTGGTAGGTGAGGGGGACTATTCTCAACACTTGTCAGTGGTGTCCCCTACGAACCTCCAGCTCTCACTGTAGGGCCTGCAAAGCCGAGACTGAGTAACAACCACTTTTGCCGTCTGTATCGTCTTCATCTCTCATCTCATCCCTCTATCACCATTATCATGAAGCTAACTACGATCAGATCAGATGTCAGGATAGAAGCCCTTCTCATCACTAACCCTTGGCCATGGAGGAAATGCCATCCGATGAGTTTCCGGAGCGCACCCAGCACCCGAAACGGAGATGGCGGATTGGATTAAGTCGACCTCGACTGTTACAAAGAAGGGAGATATAGATGAATATGCGCACCTCATGTGGTCCCGGTGTCTAGGCCTCGCCTGGCTGGGCCTGCAGGATTTTTGAGACTTTCTTTCGGCGCACGTAGTTTCCATTACTTCCATTTTTTTTTTTTTCTGGGTAGAAGGTTCTGTGGAAAAGTTGACCAAATTTCACAGGTAAATATTGAGTTGAATGGCTATTCATCAAGGGGACTATATCAATGATCTTTCAAGTAAAAAAAGAGGATAGGAGCACTGTACAAGGTGTGTCCTGGGTCAGAGAGGGGCCCAATGTGCTAGATAGTCATAAACTCAAGTAGTACAATAAACACAAAAACACATTTTGTTAGGTGATGAGATAATTGTGGAGAGAGCCGCGAGATAAGTTTGGCTGTGAGTGATTTTGCAGAGAAAAAAAGATAGATCTTGAAGGTGTCGGTTGTTGTAATACGAACATCAGACAGGTTGTAGGCTGTCTGCGGTTCGTATCGGGGGTGTAGATGGTTAATTTCGTTGAGTTGTGCAGTCGTGAAATCTCTGCAAGTCGGATTTTCGACCAAAAATGAGCCAACACCACTCCTCCCCATTGCCAACTCGACGAAAATCTCAAATTAACCCTCTGTTGTGACTGAATATCGGCCTTGTGAAAATATTTCACTCCCAGGTTCGTAGAGGACACCACTGACAGGAGTTCAGCCTTCGAACTCCTGTCCCACTTAAGTGTTTACTTCATAGAAAAATATAGTTTATCTTGTGGCAGCCTTTGCGTGCAGCATCCATGATTCTCGTCCTTTTGTACCAATCTAGGCCAAATTGTCGTCAAACTTAGCGTAATTATTCCACATGAATAATGTAAGAGCAGCTATTGCATTACACTCAATTAACTACGACGAAAGCACGCCCGTACATCTTGGATAATCGTCTCAAGCGAGTTGGATGGAATAGGAGCGGAATTTTAGACTGCATCGCTCCATCTTTATCCGACTTAGTCATACTTTGCTACTAGCCACTTGCTAGCGCATTTGGAGTTGATTCACGAATTCAGGCCGGGACGAAGCATTTCACGATAGCCAGTGACTAAGTTGGGACCGCCATGCATTCGGGTAACGAAGCACAAAACTGAAATCTGCATTTATTAATGTCATGTAATGCCACTAGTGTGCTTGTATTCCTGGAGACTTTTAGGCCAAACACGAATCAACAAGCTCTACAGACATTCCATGACCAAAGATGACAGGCGTGCTTTGAGTCTATGGTCTATCGTAAGCCTTTTCGTAATTCGCACAAACGAACGCACACCGCCGCCCCCTCTGCCAGCCCAGCATGCAACAAGTCAGGCAAGCTTTGGCGTCGTCTGCGGTAGCGGCCACGCTTCCTCACCACTACAAAGCAACAGCGTTTTCGTACCTTCCAAAAGCAATAACACTACCGCTAACCTAGAATTACTGATTGAAACTTTATTCCAGGTCGCACCAGAGAGGCGCTCCAAGGTGTGCCCTCTGAGCACCACCTGCAAAGTCACTCTAGTCCTGATGAGAGGTATATACTCGCCAGAATATGGACTCGTTATAGTGATAGTCAGATTAGAATTCGAGCGTATTGCGCGCCTGGTGGGTGGATAGCTCTCGTCCCCATGCAATCACCATAGAGAGCTCCGGACGATGGAGCTATTTCAAACATTCTAGAGACAAGCTTTCAAGCCCTGGGTTAGAGGGAAGGATGATTGCTTAGCGTGGCTGGGCCGTGAGATATATTTTTAGACGGCCGGCTTTTGGAAAGTGATGAGTCAAGGTCGGGAACATATCGGAGCCACCAGAGTCGAGGGAGAGGCACATCTAGGAGGCTTCAACTTCTCTTCTCTGCCATGGACTAATATTTGGTCACATGACCAAGATTATGTAGCTTCCTGACGACCTGAGTAGTTGAGTTACGCCGAAGACAGTGTTGAAACCTAGAATATACAATGTTAGTATAAGCTAAATAGCAAATGAGTCATACATTTACCTGGCTGTTAGTGTTTACCAGCTAGGTAGAACATTTGTGTGGTGTTAGGTTGAAAGAGATGTCAGTCACATGATGCTGACCTTCCGCCATTAAACGGGAGGCAGGAAGACAGATCACTCACTTCTACCAGGGTACCAGTAGAGGACACTTGCACCGTCGTTGAAGAACTAGATCACTCGTGGACTGCTAATTATGTATATAAGATAGTAATAGTTCGTTATAGTTTTCCTCATGCAATTTTACTCTAATTAATAGATCAATAATTATTTCATCTCAACAGACAGTATATCCATCGCCAAGATAGAGCCCGGCAGTGAATCACTATGCTGACGATGGTGAAAAGAAGCCGGAGAACTGTAGCTGTAGATGCGAGCAGAGGACGCCAGCCTTTTCGTAGTCTCGCAAGTGCCATGTTTGGGAAGTGTCGTGAGTACGGTGCCAATGGGGCCGCCAGAGCCTCTGGGAGATTTAGTGTATGTTTGTGGTTGTTGTACTACGTGAGTCATAGAGTATCTAGCACATTAGGCTCTTCTCTGACCAAGGTCGCACCTTGTACAATGCTCCTATCCTCTTTTCTTACTAAAATTACCACTACAATGCTCATGATGGATAGCCATCGACACTTTGGGTATCACAGATGCCGAGACTTACTGCATATTGAGAGCAATACAATATGTGAGACATTTCGCTAATAAGACCTTACATATATTCACTGATAGCCAGGCTAGCATCCTTCGACTCCAGCACAGCACTAGCTAAATTTCCCACCAGATCAGGATGGCATCTCGAGGGTGCACTATTCATCTTCAAAAGTGTCCTGCTCATGTTGAAATAGAAGGTTATAAGCTAGTTGACAAACTAGCCAGAAATGAGATTACAAGACCAGTAATGAAAAGAGCTGAGTAAACAACTCATTCATTGAGTAAAAAGCGAGAGAATTGGTGCTGGAGACATGGAATAACAACTGGAACTTGGAGCTTTGGCATGACGAGAAGGGCCGAAAGCTAAAGGGCTCGGCGAGTACGATAGGATCCAGGCCCAAACCAATAAATCCAGTATATCTTTCAAACCTTTCAAATTTCAAGGACATGGCAGGAAGACAGAGTCAGGACTCTTCCAGACAAGGCTTGGAATCGGAAACACACGAGTCTATCTTCATATGATAGGAAATATTTAAGATAATATGTGCAACTTTTGTAGGAAAGGCAGAATGGGCTACACCTGTTGTTAAATTGTCCTAGATTCAGATACCAAAAAGACAGATATTTTCAGGGCATAGGGCCAAGAACATTTTCAGTAAAATTTCGAACAAAGATAAGAAGGAAGCTCTTGTTATGTATTTAGACATATCCAAGTGCATGGTAGTAGACAAAGGATATTAAAATAGGAAACACCAATTGGAACTTAACAAGTACTTGTGTAACTTAGATGTAAGGAGTTCGGGGGGTGTAAATTTTAGTTAGGAAATAATGACCCTTCAGTCATTGAGGTTGTAGAGCGCATTAATACAAGTAACTACCGAAGTGAAACTAAGTACAGTATTTGTAGTCACGTGTGTAGCAACAACGTGGCCTACTTGATAGCCCCAATTATTCTAGATTCTAACAAATTATATGAATAATGTGTCATGACTAGATAGCTGAAAACATACTGAATTAGAAAAAAACACGGATTGCCATTCGGCTCAGTCGTCACCCGTAGAATCAAGTCACTTTTTTTGCGAAATCCTATATCCCAAGAAAATAAAAATTGAAGCAATGGAAACTGCGTGCGCGAGAAAAAGTCTCTAAAATCCTGCAGGCCCAGCCAGGCGAGGCCTAGACACCGGGACCACATGAGGTGCGCATATTCATCTATATCTCCCTTCTTTGTAACAGTCGAGGTCGACTTAATCCAATCCGCCATCTCCGTTTCGGGTGCTGGGTGCGCTCCGGAAACTCATCGGATGGCATTTCCTCCATGGCCAAGGGTTAGTGATGAGAAGGGCTTCTATCCTGACATCTGATCTGATCGTAGTTAGCTTCATGATAATGGTGATAGAGGGATGAGATGAGAGATGAAGACGATACAGACGGCAAAAGTGGTTGTTACTCAGTCTCGGCTTTGCAGGCCCTACAGTGAGAGCTAGGGGCTAGCAGGGGACACCACTGACAGGTGTTGAGTTTCGTCCCCCTGAGGGCAATGAGTGCAGCGAGTGAAAGAAGCGCCTTTCAGGCGTTTGTAAGCTTCAGAAGATACATCAGTGCGCCGTTGGCGTCAGAAGCGAGCTGGAAGGATTGAGAATAAGGCGGCAGCAATAGAACCAACTAGCTTGATCTTATTATGCACTCTTATGGTGATGGTACGGCGTATTAGAAAGGCTTCGTGTAAGTCCGGGCCGACGTGCGAGGGCCGGCTTGTGGAGACAGGCCTAGCTATTTTCGGGCATTCCCGGTCTACGCTACCACCTCGTGCGCTTGGCACCAATCCCCACCGCACGTGAAAGCTCGTGATGAGCTTAAGAGAAGCGCGAAGTATGCCGCTTCCCGAACCACTGTTCATCCTCATCCTGCGCTGACACCGACTACTAACTATGCATAGTCTAGCTGCGGCCGAGGAGAATAAGGGTCGTTGGCGGTATGTTGCTTCAGTATTTCTTCCCTCGTCCCTACGCAACGGCTCAACGTCCCTTGAATGATAGCGTCAGTATAAGGATGATGAACGGAGCAGGCGTTGCGATATCCCGATGCTGCATCTCTTACGACTCAGTGCTTGCCGTAAGGACTTTCCCTCGTTGCATGGTTGAGAACCTCTGCATAAATAGTGCTCGGGTGGCTTATGTCAGCATGGGCAAGAGTCGAACTTCAGCCCTTGCGTCTAGACACGTTCCGCTCCAATTAACCAACATCTGCCTCTTCACCATTCCTCTTTTCCTCTGAACAATCCAGTCAGAAAGCTTAGAGTAAGCTGGGTCTTGCTTTAGAAAATCTGCCGTTTCCTCACGCGCGCCATATCCAAATATCCAGTCATGAAGTTGACAAGGCTGCCAGCTTCCTTATGGCCTCTCCTCCCACCCTTATACTTCGTCATCACTGTCGGCCCCCTCGTCGCAGCCCAATCGCCGTTGGGACAGAATGTTCACTACGGGGAAATTAACACTAATCAGGATCCTGCCGTCCTCCCGATGGATGTAACCACCAAAACCAAATTCGATATCGGGACAAAGGACGCGCCAGTGGATGGAAAGGATGGAAAGCCGCACGCCGGCCCTTGGGTTTGGATCGACAAAGACCCGAAATCAACCAAGCCGCTTCATGAGCCACAGAGAGAGGAGGACAAGCAAAGGGATATAGCCATTCCCGAGGTAGGACAAGATGGAAGAATCACCACGAAAAACGGCGGGGTCATGGATGATCCAACTCGAGAGCTGCCGAAGCATGGGACGACTGGTACTGAAGGCGGCGTAAGTGAAAAAGAAAAGGCGAGAAAGGCCCACGAGGGTCAGACGGGTGAACGATTGGAAAAGAAGCCCGAGTCGCCAAAAGAAGCGCCTCAGCCACTTCCTGACAAATTGGAAGATATCTATATGGATAAAATGAAGTCCAAGGATGGCGATGAGGCCGAAAAGCCAACTAAAGATACACTTGCAGGTCTTGAGGTGAGAACAAGCTGTCACATGAAACGCAATAAGCCTGATAACAATAGAAACCTGACAATCTTCCCGACAAGCTGAACAACTTGCCCCATCCTTTGCCTGGCTCTGCACAGAAAGACCATTTGGACATCCAAAAATCGAACAAGGAATCCTCCAAATATGAGTTAACCCAACAAGAGCTTGCCGAGGGCCTCATTAAACCTCTCCATTCATTCTTCCTCTCATTAACCATGATTCTATTCTCGGAGATCGGCGACAAAACCTTTCTCATTGCTGCCCTCATGGCCATGAAGCACGATCGGATCACTGTGTTCTCTTCTGCCTTTGCAGCACTATTCATCATGACGGTCCTATCGGCGGTTCTCGGCCACTCAGTTCCAACCCTAATTCCAAAACGATATACTAATTACCTGGCATCGGGCTTATTCCTCGTCTTTGGGGTACGCATGTTGAACGAAGGCTTGGCCATGAGTTCGCAAGACGGCGTTGCCGCTGAAATGAAGGAAGTCGAAATGGAATTAGAGGAGAAAGAGCATTTGAATTTCCAGCCAGTTGGTGGGCGATCCACCATCTCTCCATACGCACTCGAGATGGGCCTCGGTCGTAGTAGGTCAAAAAAGTCTCGGATGGGCACGAGATTAAGTTCACCAATGAGAAGTCCTTCATCGTCGCCTGATCGAACAGCCTCTCCGCCACGCTCTACCGTCAAAAATCGATTCAAGGGGCTGAGAAATCTATTATCGCTCCTCTTGAGTCCCGTTTGGGTACAGACCTTTGTCATGACCTTTTTGGGAGAATGGGGCGATCGAAGCCAGCTTGCCACTATTGCTATGGCGGCTGGTCAAGACTACTGGTGGGTTAGTGGAGGTGCAATTACAGGACATGCCATATGTACAGGCGTGGCTGTGATTGGTGGTCGAGCAATGGCGGGGAGGGTGAGTATGAGACTTGGTAAGAGCTGCAATTCCCTTCCCTAACGCAAGTCCTAACTCGATGACAGTGACACTAGGCAGTGCAGTTTCATTTTTGGTATTTGGCGTAATATACTTTGCCGAGGCTTGTTATGCGTAGGAAGTCTCTATTTCGACGGCTTTAAAGTTGTCGCATGTACAATACCAAAGATTTCCTTTTTGGCGGTGGCGCCTAAAGCATGCTCCTTTGCCCTTGATTGTAGATAGATATAGCCTTGCAACCTGGTAGGAGAGGATTGCGCGGCACGAAGCAGGAATCGTCGATTTCGGCGACGCCGGGTTTCGGCGGAAACAATGATCTTGTAATACCTATTCCGCGTATACAGATAGCCTTATACCCCTATTGATTTTTCAAGCAGATAATAATAATAATAATCAGCTCGTGTCGTTGGCAGTCGTGCAAGTCGCCAAGAGTGGGACGCTACAAGAGCCGCTTCGAAGGAATTCCGTCGATAGGCAAGTGGGGCGCTGCAGGCTCTCGTGGCTCGATGTCAGTCTCGGGCGCATAAATAGTAGAGGTAACGCCGTTACACTCAAAATCAAGTGTACTTGAACCTGTCGTGGTTTTCCCCTCTCCCACGACAGTCATGTGGTCTTACTCCTCTTCCCGTACCGCGTCAGCCCTCACACCGCGCTCCCTTTCGTCTCAGTTTTCTCCCCGAATCAAGCACGTCGGCCGACAAATGGCGCAGATCATAGCGCTCCGGCCCGGCTGCGTCGAGGAGTATCTGCAGAGCCCGCATATCGCCTGGCCGGCCGTATTCAAGCATATGAAGGATTGTAACTTGGAGGATTGTAGGTGACGATGGCCGGAAGAGCGAGGCGTAACGCTATCTGGACCACCCTCACCGCCCCTCTCGAACCCATCTAATCGTACTGGTGCCTACTAGATACCATCTTCCACGATGCCGCCACACACTCTCTGTTTACGAGTTTTAGATATGTAGGATACGATTGGGCCGGCGACGGTAAGGATCTCCCCCTCTCGTCCCGACCCTAACCTTCCCGCGAGAGCCTTGGCTAACGGCAACGTGCTCATCAAGTTGAACGTCTTCGCGAAAGCGCAGTGATTCAGGCGTGGTGGAAAATCACTCGGCACTACCAAGCCAGTCCGGATTGCGAGATGCGCGAGAAGGCCGATGATGGCGAGCCGGACTGGTGGCAGGGTATAGCACGCGCGCCCTTCCAGCCCTAATTTCGGCGAGAGGGACTGGTGCAGCGGGGCGAGAGATAGAGAAGATTATATAGTTGTCGCAGGCTAGGTTAATTGATTTATTCTCTTCACTAACGCTTCCACGCGCTGCAATCGTTGGCTTAAGGAACTAAGTCTATCTGTACAATCACGCAAGCGTGGCCAAAAATAAACTCGCGAGCCTTAAGCCTCTACATTCAATGGTCCCTATCTGGGGGACTTTTGTCAACACCTGTCAGTGGTGTCCCCTACGAACCTCCAGCTCTCACTGTAGAGTCTGCAGAGCCGAGATTGAGTAACAAAGTCCTAACTTCCACGAGGATTCCCAATCGCTTTCGCGATCTGTATCGTCTTCATCTCTCATCTCATCCCTCTATCACCACTATCATGAATCTAACCACGATCAGATCAGATGTCAGGGTTGAAGCCCTTCTCATCACTAACCCTTGGCCATGGAGGAAATGCCATCCGATGAGTTTCCGGAGCGCACCTAGCAGCCGATACGGAGATGGCGGATTGGATCAAGTCGACCTCGACTGTTACAAAGAAGGGAGATATAGATGAATATGCGCACCTCATGTGGTCCCGGTGTCTAGGCCTCGCCTGGCTGGGCCTGCAGGATTTTTGAGACTTTCTTTCGGCGCACGTAGTTTCCATTGCTACCATTCTTTTTTCTTGGGTTGAAGGTTCCGTGGAAAAGGTGGCTGAATTCCACGGGTAAACACTGAGCTGAATGGCTATTCATCAAGGGGAATATATCAATGATCTTTCAAGTAACCAAAGAGGATAGGAGCACTGTACAATGTGTGGCCTGGGTCAGAGAGGAGCCCAATGTGCTAGATAGTCATTGACTCAAGTAGTACAATAAAAACACACACCAAAATGGTCCCTATCCGCCCACGAAGAGATTACTAGAAGCCAGATGGATAGTCAGGTTTTAGCTCGTCCCATCCTACCCTCCAACATACAATGGATTGGAGGAAAAAGGCTGAACACCCGTCAGTCGTGTCCTCTATGAACTCAGGATAAAAATTCACCCAGAGCACAGAATAATTCAGGAAAAAGGCTGCGGCTGTAATGTCCAGCAAATTAGCCATGGTTAGGAGTAGCGTCGCTAGAATTTTGGTCCAAAGTCTGGCCTACGGACCCACAAGGAAAAGGTCGTCCAAACCAATTATTTCCGCCACAAATGCGAGCCATCGATAGGCTTCAGTCTGTCCGAAGTTAGTGTAGGAATAGCTGAAAACTCTCACTGTTTTGAATTTCTCGAAAGATACTTTCCCAGTCCAACTCATCTCAGGACCAACCGAATTAACCTAGAATCCAGAGTTTCAAAACCATCGTCACAGGGATAAGACCGTCAATCCTAGGCAACTATCGCCCATGCATGGGTGGCGTCACTTTAACGGCCTTTAAAGTGTCTACATCTTAGTATTCGACAAATGCCCAGGCATCAGTCCCTCGTTCCAGGGCTCTCTCACACACATGCAGCCTCTATGGCCAAGGGTACCGCCGTGGCTTAACAAGGCAGAGTGGTCAGATGGTTATTCAAAGTACCTAGATTGAGAGATTCGCAGAGGGACAAGGAAGATGCAATCATGCAGTGTTAAAATGAAAGAAAACGAAGCCTGTATGAGATGAGAGGGTACTCGGGTGCGGAAAAGCTGGGATCGAAAGGAAAAGTCAAGGACGGGAAAATGACAAGGGCTCTGAGGCGTGGTGGCCGAAGCGTCACTTGTTCCCAAGGAGGACGAGTAGGTGAGTATGATGATACTCGACATCTACCGCAGGTATAAATGCAGGGCAAGTTGAGATCCAACTCGAGTTCGGGCTGAGCATAATCTTCACAAGCAGGAGATGTAACGGGAAGGGTAAGAATAGCATTGCGGAGACGATGCGTGACAAGGGCATATAGAATTTAGACAGCGTCTCATTATATGCACATCCGTAGTCCACTTTTATATCTCCTTTTCCTCCTCGGACTGGCAAGAGTGAATGAATGGATATTTATTGGTGACGGGCACACGCCCAGCACTGTTGGAAATGGAGACACAGTGTTGTGGGCGTACGTGACCTTGACTTCGTCTCGGTTCCTGACACGATCTTGTGTGTATTCAAGAGGTTGAAATGGGTTATATGGTAGCGCTTCGGGCTACCTATTGGATACGTGAACGGTTGTATGGCGTGGGCACAAGGAGGTTATTGGGGGTTTGCTAAGCCTAGATGGCGCCACGATCACTTAAGTTGTGGCTTTTCTTTTTGCATCAGATTTTAATTGCGTATGCAGCTATCTATCTATGACACATAATAGATGACTCAATATACAAGAAGAGCACTCATGCCTCGGATTTCACTTGCAAGTACCACTGCGGAGTTATGGCGGCTTTTTCTTCACCCCAAGTCAACTCTCATCCGTGAATACTCATCCAGGGACGTCTCTAAAATCCCGAGTTATCCAGACACGCCTCCTCGAAAAACGAATGGACGTGAGACTGACAGTTTCGGGGGGTTTTGCCGAATCGGCTTCCCCATCGGTAAATATTATGGCTAAACATACCTGAACAGCCCAAATGAAATCAATCAATTCCGCCATTCGGTTTCTTCTCCATCACATGGCATCACGTGCTATACAGCTACGCTCAGACACTGAGGACAAATTGTAAAAAGAATATACTGACTCGTCTGATATCTCTGGCGGGCTCGGGGAGCTTCGCTACATAAACAATACAATAGTGGGTCTAATCATAAAGGACACATGTTAATGCTGTTTACTAGGACTAGCTCTGTATTTCAAGACAAATGAAAAATGGGAAAAATAGATGGATGCAATCTCTACTCCTCAACTCCTCTCCGGCCTTGGTGCTGGAAACCCATCTCAAACTATTTCCGAAAGAGAAGATCTTCTTCGAGTTTCCCATAGTTACCTCATGGGCTCAATTAGATGCGTGGTAGAGCAAAACATCTCAGGTTGGCGCCGAGGTCACCCTCAGCATCCCAATCAACCTATCCTTAGCGAGGTCTCAAAGCTCGAGTGACTCGCACCGAGAGGTTGTGTTATCCCAATATCCAGTGATTCTTGTTCCTAGACTCAGTAGTTTCCAAACTGTCCGTCGTTGCACGGCTGCTGCTCACGATGAAGCCCGAGGATTGAAAGCGTAATACTGCAACACTCTCCCTCGCCTTGTGCATCTGATGTGGTTGGATAGTCGATGGCGAGTTGCCTTTGCTAGGGCTCTAGCTAACAGCTCGGCAAGATTGTTCGTGAATCTTACGTGGAGAAGTTCTAAATCTCCTTGGTTATACTTATCGCGGACGTAGTGGTGGTGTAAGCCAGTACGCTTTGAGCAACTATGAATCCGTGGATTTCTTGTCAGTTCTTGTGCTCTATTGTTGTCTATGCAGAGCATAGTGTCTGTGATGGAATATCACCAAAAAAATTAGAGAGATGTGTATATCGTACTACTTGAGTCTAGGACTAACTAGCACATTGGGCTTCTTTCTGACCCAGGATACACCTTGTACAGTGCTCCTATCCTCTTTTGTTACTTGAAAGATCATTGATATATTCCCCTTGATGAATAGCCATTCAGCTCAGTGTTTACCCGTGGAATTCAGCCACCTTTTCCACGGAACCTTCAACCCAAGAAAAAAGAATGGTAGCAATGGAAACTGCGTGCGCGAGAAAAAGTCTCTAAAATCCTGCAGGCCCAGCCAGGCGAGGCCTAGAAATCGGGACCATATGAGGTTCGCATATTCATCTATATCTCCCTTCTTTGTAACAGTTGAGGCCGACTTGATCCAATCCGCCATCTCCGTATCGGGTGCTAGGTGCGCTCCGGAAACTCATCGGATGGCATTTCCTCCATGGCCAAGGGTTAGTGATGAGAAGGGCTTCAACCCTGACATCT